ATGGAAAATCTATCCGTATATGGTAAAATATATTTTGTTTTATTTGAAGCTTCGTTTGCCATCGTAGGATAAAAAAAATATATACCTAAAGTAGGTTTTGGTTAGGTTAGGTTAAGTAGTTTTATATAAAGCTATTCATCTATTGTATATGCATTATGATCTACCTAAGTGATCGTTTGTGGCCACACACACATACACACAGATACACACACACACTTCTGTTACGTGTATATTATTTATCAATCCAGTGACCCATTCCCCATTTATGTAACTGTATATTTTCAGCCCTCCGGCTGCTATGCTCTTTCAATATTCCGTTAGTTATTATTATTATTATTATTATTATTATTATTATTATTGTTGTCATCATAATTACTATTACACACACATTTCACAAAAGCCGTACAACTCGTGCACTGTATTTCAACATTAAAATTGAAGTTAATGCAAATATGTTTAATTTGTCAGACAAAAAAAAATGTGAAAAAATACAGTTTCATATAAAAAAATTAAGGTAAAAATAAACTTAAAAATAGAAACCCACCTTTCCGCGCTCCTGTTTTTTATGGAATAAATTACCTACGAATTTTTTGTTCCTAGGTCGCTTGAATTGTAAAGACTACCTGTAAATTGTGGGTTATTACAGTTGGTGTCAAGTAGGTCATGTCCTAACCCGATACAAAGTCACCTCAATTTTGCGTGAGTCAATATTACGCAACGGACGAAGAATTTTGATAACCCCTTCTAGACAACAGGAGTTGCAGTGTTCATTCTGAAATTCATCGGATTTTATTGTGTAAACCCGTGATATGAACAGAAAATAAACGTAAATACAATAAGAAGAAAATATGAAGCGGGAGAGAGAGACTGGGGGAGAAAGTTGGAATGGTCACGTATAAAAATAAAGTTTCTAATGTATAAAAGAAAGAAGTATTGAAGGGAAAAGCTCAGCAATAGGAAGCAATATAGAGAGTGAAAAAGTTCAGTCATATTGGCAGCGATGGAAAAGTTGAAGGAAAAATAACAGAGTGAAACTGAGAAGTGGGAAGTATTCAGTCAGAAGGTGGAGGACTGAGTGTGTGTGTGTGTGTGTGTGTGTGTGTCGTAAGAAATACAGACGCCAGCTTCCATTAGCAAAAAAAAAAAAAAAATACGATTTTTCTATTATCGCTGAACCGAAGACTGAAATTTAATTTGTCTCGAGATAATGAAAAATATGTGAAATGGCTGTTTTTTCACTGAAGCGCGGTGAGAACCACTACAATGGGTTTTTCCTTTGTCTTCTTGTCAAGTCGCTGTGCAGTAAATCAACACTTCCTGTGCACACACACACACAGGTTCATAAGTACAGCCAGTAGTCTTTCCCCACATCCCGTGCAGCCACCAGCCTTCCGTCACAGGTCAGCCCCGCCACTCTCTCACGCCACTCACTAATATAGCTCAACTTGATCTGAATCGCCATACTCGGGTTTTCTGATGACATTTATTGTTATCACTGTGCTGGACCACACTATTTTTTTCATCAGTGTGTCTGTCTCTCTGTCTGTCTGTCTCTGCACAGTAATCATACAATATACCGTGTAATAATTATGTGACATAAGGCCTTACAACATAGGGGCTCGGAAAGCATCAGGGTACTTACATGGTCCACACAGGGCTATCCAGGAGTAGGGTAGACAAAGGAAGCATGTCTCAATGAGTACCTTTGACGTCATCAATACTGTGGTGAGCTCAATGGATCTTATTACAGGTGATCCGAGGTAGTGCATCACGTCTGGTGTTCCAGTAATGAAGTAGAGACCGCCTCGGGGACGGCTCATGTACAGGTGCGACATATATTATTCGTGTGTGACAGACAGTTGGTATTTAGTGATACGTGGGGAATATGCTCATTTCAACCATCATTTGCTCACTTTTTTACCAGTAATTAGTTGAATAAGTACTGTACGGTCAATTACTATTGTCCGGTCGCCTCTCCCCCTGAACCACGAACCCCCGAGATTCAGACTCGTGAATCCGAAGCATTTATGGACAGAATAATGTATCAGTCTACTGCTTCGGGTTCACGAGTCAATCTCTAGAATCTCGGGGGTCTGTGGCTCAGGAGGAGAGGCGAACGGACTTAAAAGTTGACTGTACCATGAAACGGCCCATTGACTCTGTAATTATCATTTTAACACACTGAATCTATGGAAAAGTTTATTTACACCATTTGCCTATGTCTACCCAGCTGTATTTGGGGACGTGGATGTTAATCGAATCGTAGATAGTGTTCGTGGGTAATGGTTAGCCAGTGCAGTTGTTGAGTTGTCGTGTCTTCTTGGATTATTCCTTGACTCTGGTTCACACAACTCGCTAACTTAGGGTGTGGCTGTTGTGGTAACGACAGCTTCTACACTCAAAATAATTTCACGCTTAAGTGGCCCTAAGACCGGACATCTTCAGTCTCGGTTAACATTCTCGAGTTTAATAACCATTATGTATGTATGTCCGTCCGCTAATTTGTCTCCTATTATATATATTTTTTTATGACGATACACGTCGTCTGGAAATTGCATCATTGAGATTAATGAGTTTCTTAACGTAAGTGCGCAGATCTAAGGCCAATGTTTCCTTTATCCTTACGTGTTGAGTCTTTGCATGTGTATAATTCACCACCACAAGGCCAGATGCATTCTGATCTGGTACCAATGTGAAGCGCAAGAATTGATCTCAAATATAAAAATTAATAAGTATAAAACTATAGGTTGTAGATAGAGTTTGTTTACAACATTAAGGCTAATTTATACATCCCTTATCAGTGTATGTTAAGATAGTCCACGAAAAGCCCGGCTCGTTTACTGAATCACGGAGATTGCCAAAATGTTTTCAGAGAATGTTGGAAATTCACTCACATGATTATTTCCCTCGGGAATAAGTCAATATTTCTGTGCATGGAAGGGGGATTTTTTAAAGTGAATTAATCAATCCTCAGGTAAATCCTACAGTGAAACCTATATTTAACGGACTTTATGGAGAGGAATGTCCGTTATATCGAGGGTACGTTATATGTAAAACCTCCACTTAACGAACTATATAGCGATGAAAGTTCGCTTTATCGGGGGTGTGTTAGATGCGAAATCCTCCTCTGAACGGATTACATGGAGAGAGAGGCCCGTTATGCATTAAGTTAGGTAAGATTAGTTTTAAGTTAGGTTTGGTTAGGAAAGGTTTAAATTCATATTTCATTTGAGGTACATTCACTTAAGAATATAGTGTGGCTAGTGTGTTGAACATTCTGAACAACATTCTCTTGTCACTCAGTGCTCCTCATACGCTGCTTCCCTCACTCCTCCCATCCTTCACTCCTCCCTTCCCTCAGTCCTTTCTTCCCTCACTCCTCTCTTCCCTCACTCCTCTCTTCCCTCACTCCTCTCTTCCCTCACTCATCCCTTCCCTCACCCTCCTTCCCTCACTCGTCTCTCTCCCTCACTCTCCCCTTCCATTAATTCCTCTCTTCCCACACTCCTGCCTTCTCTCACTCCTCCTTCCCTCACTCATCCCTCATTCCCCCCTTCCTTCACTCCCTCCTTCCTTCACTCCCTCCTTCCCTCACTCCCTCCTTCCCTCACTCCCTCCTTCCCTCACTCCTCCCTTCCGCCACCCTCCTCCCCCCTCCTCCCTCACGTCCCTCCTCCTATTTATTTATATGTATTGAAATAGTCCTTCAAGCTGCTTTTTTCTCCATGACTCCTGAGTCCTAACCCAGCCTCCACCTAACCTCAGCCAATCCACCTTTGTTAATCCACACTCAACCTCAACTATCCCTTCCTCAATCCACCCTCAACCACACCTCCCTCCTCCATTCGCATCTCTCTCTCTCTCTCTCTCTCTCTCTCTCATCTTTTCCCTCCTCCATCAGCTCTTCCTTCCAAGGGTCATTCAATTTACCTTTGGAGTCACTGCAGTGTTCTTCTCCAACAAGGTCAACTTTTTTTTCAATTTAGGCTTTATTAGTGGCTTCGTTTGTCTCAGGTATGTGGATGACAAATTTGTTATATATATATATATATATATATATATATATATATATATATATATATATATATATATACACTGTATGTGTGTGTGTAGTAAAAAAAAATTATGTGTGCGTGTGATGAACTGTATAGTTGAGAAAAGAAAAACGTAGGGAAACACCTATATTTTTCTTGTAACTAACCAGAAACACACAACGTCTGACCTTAGCTATTTCGGGTCTCCCAACGTAAATAGAAAAAAAATTACAAATAAACTAGAAGAGTGGAGTGAACTTAGTTAAGAGTGTGAGGAGACTTGTAAGACGCTGCCGACACAAGCTGCTGTGAAGGTCGGTGGCGGGTTGTATCTCAAACTTTCTTTCTTCATGCATAATGTGAGAAATACTCCAATATTCTCATTTACCTTTCTTAATTATCTTTTTATTGTTGAACAAGTATTCTTTATTTATTTATGCTGTATATTACCAACTGATGCCCATTCGCTTCTCTCCCTGGACCACGAGCCTCTGAAGCATTTATGGACAGAATATTGTCTCAGTCTACTGCTTCGGGTTCACGAGTTTGGATCTCTCGGGGGTTAGCGGGTCAGGGGGAGAGGCGAACGGACTTCAGCAGTTGACTCTATTTATTTATTTAGTGATTTATTTATTTATATGCTATAGCTAGCTTTAACACTCTAATGTGTCATACGTTATGTCTCTGATGAAAATAATGCATTAGATAGTCTGAGTTGAGAGTAGCTAAAATGCCGCGGGGAATATTAACACATTAGCCAGACCATGTACCGTATAATACTTACTTGAATGGTGATCCATCCACTGATTAAAGCTGCTCTCTCTCTCTCTCTCCGGGGCTACCAGCGAGGAACACAAGTGTGTTTCAATGTTAATGTGATGTTTGCCAAATAAAAAAGATCACCAAACAGTACAGGATAGGAAAAAATACCCCAATTAGTATTACACTTTTATTTAGTGTTTTAGATACAAATGGTGTGCGAGAGCTGAGTGTCTCGGGCAGAATAACATTATCTTGACCACCAATAAATGTAAGAAGTGTTAATAAACCAACTTGAACAGAACAAATTTATCAACAAATGACCTTTGTGGTATTAATATCTCTACGGTGTCTTATATTTCATGAGATTGTTTGACAAGTAAAAAACAAACTAATTTTTCTAATTATATATAACTATTGCTATATGTACAGAGTCGAACAGTTGAACGATGAACAATGGATAATTTAGTTAAAAGAAAGAAACAGAAATTTTGTCATACAGTACAGAGAACAGGTAGACTGTGTTGGTACTGAATAAGTTAAGCAAAAGAGACAGTTGGTTGTGCGTTAATAAGAACAAAAAATTACTACTGCACATTTCCAACTGTTTAAGGTCAAAAAGTATCCCCTCCCGTCTTATTGGACACTTACTACATAACCTAACCTAACCTAAACTAATCATAAAGAATCCATTAGAACTTTGAGCCCCTTAGGACTAGGGCCCATTAGGATAGGGCTTTAATTCCAATAGGTAGGTTACGTTACGTTACATTACGTTTGAGTTCCGACTGGGGTCCAATTAGCCAGTAACACATCTCATCCAGCGTCATCCTCTACGTCTGCGTTTAGTTGAACATCAGGAAAATATTAACTCAGTCCATTATATTACCATTATGAAATCATTTACACCAATAATTCACTTCTACAAACACACACTTGTTCTTGACCAGAGGTAACACGCTAGGTAACATAACCGACTCTATTATTTACGGTTCATATTATTATTTCATGCACAATACCAGTGACATCACTGTTCCATTGAAAACTAATGTAAATATGAAACCATCAGTGACCTTCAGTTCTGTGTATTTTAAATAATTTCCTTAAGTTTCATAGTGTCGGCAACTGAATCGTACATGACTCAGCCTTAAAGTGTTATTAGTGTTAGTAATTAGTGACACATCTTGTTTTAATGTATAGAATGTGTACTGTATTATGAAAGAAAATATTTATTGTGGTTAAGGATTTGCATCTCAGCTCTAGTAGATAAAACTGTTGGCTCTTTACTGCGTTAATTAGTTATATACACATACGTTTACTTGTATGTATGTGTATGTATGTATGTATGCTAGTATCATGTATGCATTATATAGACACCGTCTGGTATGGTGTCTGTGAGAGTAGTGTAGTAATGAGTATGGTGTCAAAAGTGATGGATGGTGTGGGAGGTAAGACATGTGGTGTGAGAGAGCAGTACAGCCACAACTAAAGTGAATCTGGTATTAGGTTATCAGAAGATTATGTTTACTTCGTCATTGTGTATTTAACCCGTGAGATCCTCTTTCATGGGCGTGGTAACCCTCTTCCGTGGGTGTGGTGATCCTCTTCCGTTGGCGTGGTGATCCCCTTTCGTGGGCGTGGTGATCCTCTTCCGTGGGTGTGGTGATCCTCTTCCGTGGGCGTGGTGATCCTCTTCCGTGGGCGTGGTGATCCTCTTCCGTGGGCGTGGTGATCCTCTTCCGTGGGCGTGATGATACCCTTTCGTGAGCGTGATGATCCTCTTTCGTGGGCGTGGTGCTCCTCCAGAGAATCTTATATGGGCGTGCTCATCCTCCAGTGCACCAGGCTTGGCATGATGGTCCTTGAGGGACATTAGTGTGGGTGTGGTCAACCTCTAGATTACCAAGTGGGGCATGGTCAGCATCTAGAGCACCAAGGTGGGCGTGGTCAGCCAGGATTGATGGTGTACACCCTATGAAACCTACAGTACATATCATACGTGACCATCCTCAAGTGTCAGGGAGGGGGGCGTGACCATCCCCAAGTGTTAGGGATGAGCGTGATCACCCTCAAATGTTGGGGAGGGGGGCGTGATCACCCTGTGAGGCCAACAAAGAAGGTGTGTGGTGGGCCAGGGAGGGGCGACAGAGAGACCTGACTACACCTGCAGGATATAGTCGTGAGTGGAGGCAGTGTCTGAGTCAGTGTGAGTGTTGACACCTTCTGGCACGGCTGAGTCCATCTCATCCTCGTACCTGTGGGAGAAAGAGAGAAACTGTTATATACTGCAGTTCACGATTAATTATCTCTCAGGAAGATGAGTTGGAAGTCGTGTTAAATGGGAATAATATTAGCGAGAAATATATGAGGTTGAAGTATGGGTGAGAAGGTGAATGAAGGGTTGAAAGTTTGCTGTTATAGTCCTGGGCTTCGGTTGACGTCAGGATCACGACAAAGAGAGAGAGAGAGAGAGAGAGAGAGAGAGAGAGAGAGAGAGAGAGAGAGAGACTGCGTTAGGGTGTTTAATCAGCAGGTGAAATAGGATTCCAAATACCTGTGTTGTAAATAAGTTGCGAACATCTATAGCAATGAGTGAATGTTATCCCCCTATTCATCACAAGTGTTGTGTCCTCGTTCTATACACTTTTAGGTCTCAGTGGGTTGAAATGGGGTTGGTATCCACATCCACACTCGACTCACTTAACACCATCCACAACATAAGGAAAATTTTCAAAGCCACATAATTATTCCATTCGTCTTGATATATTTACAAGGGAAAAAAATCAACTTCAGTATAAACCACAACACAAACACCTTCATGCCTCAAGAGTCCCCACCCCCCTTCTCCTCCTCATCTCACCTGTCGTAAGAATCTTCCTTGGCCTCCAGCAGAGCCTCTTTCGCTTCCAACTTCTTTTTGTAGAGTAGCAAAAGGTGAAAGACGCCCAGGCCAATCAACAGACCTCCTGTAGGGATATTCATACCAGAATTAGACCAATAAGCTGTATATTTGACTATGTTTATAACTATCTATGTTTGAGTCTTTAGGTTCTTCGTCTAAAATATATTTGCTGAAATGCCAACTTTGTGTGGGGGAAAACATTGTTAATTCAGGAAATATCACACAATATTAACTTTTTCTCTTGAAGACGTGAACCTTCATGACAATCCTCATGTTTTTTGATTGTGTAGGAAATTACATATTTCCGGTTGTCATGGTGATGTGTAGAAAGTTACAGATTTCCGGTTGTCATGGTGATGAAAAACGTTTAGTTAACATTACCGACGCTACATTTTATCTCAGAATCTTATTACAGTAATGAGCGCCAGGGTGTTAATCTGATCCAACGGTTTTTTTTTAACCTTTGGAGCAGCAACTCATTAACATAAATTTTCTACTGAAACGTTCTCTATTTACTTCGTTTTTGTACGTCAGTTTTTATTAACTTGATTCACAGTGTTTGTACAGTAACACGAGCAAACTTTATCGCAAGTCTTACCGGTTAACACTGATTACCAACATTTAGTTAAACCATCATTTACTGTTCTGCCACACCCTCTCAAACTCACACCATTTCAAGGATTTCTGCTGGCACATTTTACAATTTTATGATTTCACCTTATTACGCAGGGCAGGGCAGGGCAGGGCAGGGCTGGGCGGAGCGGGGCGGGGAGGAGTGGGACAGGTCGGGGCAGGGTGAGATGGAGTGGGGTGGGACTGGACGCTGCGGGACTGGACGCTGCAGGACTGGACGGGGCGGGACTGGACGGGGCGGGGCGGGGCGGAACTGGGCGAAGGCGGGACGGGCTTAGGCGCGACGGGCTGAGGCGGGACGGGACGAGGCGGGACGGGACGGGACGGGACGAGACGAGACGAGACGGGACAGGACAGGACAGGACAGGACAGGACAGGGCGGGACGGGACGAGGCGGGACGGGACGATTGGAAAACGTGGACATCCTTCTGCCCAGTATGGAAGGAACTCATTCAGAGAGAGAGAGAGACCAACAGGAGGACAGAGACAAAAACACGTGTCCAAAAGAAAGGGGGATAAAAATGCATGTATCTGAGAGAGAGAGAGAGAGAGAGAGAGAGAGAGAGAGAGAGAGAGACGTGGAAAGAGGAGGCGTGAGGGTGACAGAGACAGAGGGCTTGGAGAGGAAGCGGGGCTGAAGGCTGTGTTGTGTGTGCAGTGCCGCTCGCCTGAATAAAACAAAACAAATGGATCGCCTGTGATTCAACTTTTCATGAGACCAAGAAAGGCGATGTTTACCTCCATCTTATTTTACTTTGTAGGATTTCATGCTGATATTGTCGGGTTATTTATATACAGTATGCTGGACACTGCGTGAATAAAGTAAAAGGGAATTAAATCCTTCGCCAGTGTTGCCTTATGTAATTTGGCCATGAAACGTCATATCCAGCCATTGTGACATCATAAAGTGGCCATGTAATACCAGATCCAGGTATGGTGACGTCATAAAGTGGCCATACAATAACCAAGATGTCCATGTGCCACGGATTTTACCTGAAACGGATGTCAACCATAGTCTGTGTGGGCGGAGGAGGATGACGGCTGCAGCGGCCCAGTAGATGAGTGATTTCTTCCATGTGTCCAGCCAGAGTACCACTGACCAACACCCCAACACCCTGCTCGTCTCGTTCCTGTCAGAGACCATCACACATTAGTAAACCTTACCACCAACTGTGCATCTGTCAGTCACACCTGCCAGATGATGGTGGTAGAGATGGTGGGTGAGTCAGGCAGGAGTGGTTGGCTGAGAACACACAGTTTGCTAGTCAACTCAGGACCACCCACCACTGCCTGGCTGGTTGGATCACGCTGACCACCTAATCTAAAAACTGTCAATAAATAACCTTCCACATCCTTCACTTCTTTAAGATGTTCCCAGTAAACGACTACATCTTTTTCCTACAAGAATATTTGTTTCTTTCAGGCAGGTAGAGTGAGTCTTACTTTACGGAGAGTTGTTGCACATACAGTAGAGTTATCTGTTTACTTTTCGGTAAATAGAAAGTCTGTCATACTAAACGTCTTGATCAGCTGACGTTAAGGGAGAGTTAGATAACCTTCGTAACAAAATATGTAAATAATGTTTTATACATACTGTATATATGAAGCCAGATTTCGATGTCAACTGACTACTAACATGATAGACTTATAATCTAACACTCCCCGCCAGCTCGTAGTTTGAGTGGGTTAAGTTTTCAATTTATTTTAACACATAAAGTCAACTACTAAAGTCCGTTCGCCTCTCCTCCTGAGCCACGAACCCCCGAGATTCTAAGTCATGAACCCGGTTAACGTTAGGGCGTTTAATCTTCAGGTAGAATAAGCTAGGGAGCGAATCTTCAGCTACTCCGCGAATTTTTTTTTAGATGAATTTATAGAAACGGGTAAATTGTATTTTAGTGAGCCAACACACAAACACACAGCAAGGGAAGCCAAGTCAAGGGATTCTATCAAATGTATCAAACTAAAACACGAGAAAAGATTGGACCAATACAGTTAGATACTGGCGAGCTAACTGATAACGACGGAGAAATTAGCAATAATCTGAATAAATATTTTTCAACAGTTTTCACCACCGAAAATTTAAACATGATACCCGAGGCACCGACTCTATACAGAGATGGTGAAGAAAATAAATTAGGCGGAATAGTAGTTACTGGCTACGATGTTAGTAAGCAAATAGACAAACTAACGCCTAATAAGTCACCGGATCCCGATGAGATATTTGCCAGAGTATTAAAGAATGTAAGGAAGAGCTTAGTATGCCCTTAGTAAAGTTGTTTAACATGTCCTAAAAACGGGTGTAGTACCAGAATCCTGGAGGATAGCGAATGTAATACCTCTAACTACCGTCCAATCAGTCTAACATCAATTGTAGGCAAATTACTGGAAGAAATCATTTCAAACTCTATTCGAAATCACCTGGAGAAGCACAAGTTGATCAGTGATTCCCAGCATGGCTTCACAAGCGGGCGTTCATGTCGAATTAATCTATTAACATTCTTTTCATCTGTTTTCGAATCAGTGGACAAGGGGCACAATTATGATGTGGTATAACTCGACTTTAGCAAAGCCTTCGACAGAGTCCCCCACGAAAGACTAATAAGAAAAATGGAGGCTCATGGCTTTAAAGGAGATATTCTAAAATGGATTAGGGCGTGGCTATAGGACAGGAAACAGCGAGTGAGCATTAACGGCACTAAATCCGATTGGAGCAACGTCACTAGTGGAGTTCTCCAAGGCTCAGTACTTGGACCGTTATTATTTATCATATACATAAACGACATAGATATCGGCATAGACAGCAACATAAGTAAATTTGCTCATGACACTAAAATAGGGCGTGTAATTAAATCTGACGAGGACTCCGCAAAACCACAGGAAGATGTAAAAAAAAATTTCGAATGGTCTGAAAAATTGCAGATGAAATTCAATGTGGACAAACGTAAAGTACTCAGTATAGGAGATGTAAACAGGGAAACCAGATACCAGATTAACAACGATGTTATTGAGAAATCCGACTGCGAAAGATTTAGAAGTAATGACAAGTAGGAATCTTAAGCCAAGTAAACAATGTGTATTTTCTCGAAACAAGGCTAATAAAGTTCTTGGGTTCATACAAAGGAGTTTTAATTACAAGACTAGCGAGGTCATCTTAAAACTATATCTTAAGCTTGTGAGACCTCACTCGGATTACGCAGTTCAATTCTGGTCACCGTATTACAGAATGGATATAGAATCCTTGGAAAGAATTCAGAGGAGAATGACAAGACTATTCCCGGGCATTAGGAACCTTGAATACAGAGACAGGTTAAAGCATCTTAATTTGCACTTCATCGAGAGAGGTAGAGTGAGGGGCGATATGATAAAGGTTTATAAATGGAAGTCAGGGCTGAACAAAGGGGACATTGCAAAGGTACTCAAACTATCCAACCAGGAGCGAACTCGTAACAATGGTTTTAAATTGGACAAATTTAGATTTAGGCGCGAAATGGGTAAACATTGGTTTGGAAATAGATTAGTGGACAAGTGGAGCAAGTTACCAAATATCATCATTGACTCGAATACGCTGGATAGCTTCAAACATAGGTTGGATGTATATATGAGCAATGAAGGGTTCATTGTACATAAAATTCTCACTATACAAGAAAATAAGAAATAAGTAAAATAGGAAAGACGACACAGGAGCCGAAGACGTACCTTATACACACACGGAGAAAGAGGGTGATGGCCCACGTGATCTCCAGGAAGAACAGGGTGAAGGCGAACATTCTGTAGGGGAGAACACGAGGGTTAATACAGTCCCACCTTCTGCAGGAACATGTGGCGTTGAGACTGTACTGTAAGTGTATACTGTCAACTACTAAATTTGAATATTTTATTGACGATAAAAACCAATTACATCAAAAGGACAGAGTAGTATCGTAAACTTTGATGGTAACGCGAAGTGGTTCGTCTCTGAGAACGAATTAGACCGAGTTCAGAGATCGTGTATTTTCATTGGCTTGCTCCGGTTAACAAACTGCCCCAGCGAATGAAACCAAACCATTTATGATTTTAGCAAGCACAAACAGCTGAGTCTTCTCCAAAATCGGTATTATTTAAGTTTTGTCTGGGTTAGCAACGCCCGTTGGTTCGGTACCGCTAATATCAGAGAGAGAACAGTTATGCTTGGGGGAGGGGGGGTGTCATACGATGAAGGAAAGAGGTTTTATTTTTTTATTAACGAATACTGTTCCTTCTGCCCATACATACATACATACTACATACATACATACATACATACATACATACGTACATTCATACATAAAAACACACAAATACATATTGTCAGCCACATAGTCATATGCAAATGCATATTATATCATTATGTCTAAATCAAATGTAAGTCTGTATATTTTTAGCCACCGGCTGCAACTCTATTAATAAACCGTTTATTATTATTATTATTATTATTATTATTATTATTATTATTATTATTATTATTATTATTATTATTATTATTATTATTATTATTATTATTATTATTATTAGTATTAAACAAACAAACATACCGACACAAACAACCCAACATGGTCATCACACATGAGAAAGATAAACAAAGTTACTCACAAGATGTAGACGCCGATCAGGTGGTGGTGGTAGACCATGTCCACGCCCACACCCCACAGCACTGTAAAGACAACAACACACAATGGTCAATATCTGTACAGTAATAACTTATTATGGTCAATATCTGTACAGTAATAACTTATTTACTGTAAAGTAAGTGTGTGTGTGTGTGTGTGCGTGTGTGTGTGTGTGTGTGTGTGTGTGTGTGTATAATAATAATAATAATAATAATAATGATAATGATAATAATAATAAACAGTTTATTAATAGAGTTGCAGCCGGTGGCTGAAAATATACAAACTTACATGTGATTTAGACATAACAATATACATTCAATACATTTACAGGGCTGTACAGTACATAAATTAGGAGCTGTTTATTATTTTAACAATAGATGGGATGGTGCTGCTCTTATATCTGTCGGTGCGGGCTCTTATGGGCTGAATTTTGTTGTAGTAGCGGACTGCGCGAAGTGGGCGGGGGACTGCCGGTGGCAGTAGGTGGCGATGACGAGGATGGTGGGTGCGTGCGTGCGTGCGTGCGTGCGTGCATATATTGTCTGTTTTCACTTCCCCCCCCCCCAAAAAAAAATAATAAATAGTTTTCGTGGTGAAATGACACCTGAGTTATTACCTTGTGTTCGACATTTTAGGTCGAAACGTAGATTTTGTTCACATTTAATACAAAGGTGCTACTCTATAACCTGCTGATTAAGGATCTGTTTCCCCCAAATCCTTAACCCCCAAAAATCCCTAAACAATTCCTGATAATCAACAAATTTTCAATAAATATACTCCCATGCTATGATCCCTCGAAGTATAATTTGATAAGTCTCGTCAACTTCATCATAAAACCCAACACTTTTAGGAAGTTTAATAATAACAACCATTCTCTTGTATCTGAGGTAGCCAAAAATTGCTCTTCATATCCTTACACTGTGGAGAGATTTGAAGGAAGATATTCAGACAATGTTGAAAATTTATTTTTACAAGGAACAATGTCTTTACCTCACCAGGGAAAATTTTATTTGAAGATGTAGGAATAAGAGAGTTTGTCATTGACTTTGTTTCTCAGATTTACTCATTATTTTTATATTTTGCGTCTCAAAAATCGGTTTTTCATAAAAAAAAATGTGACTGGGAGTTAAAGACGATGTCAAAACCCATTTAGTGAAAATTTTCTAAGTAAATAAAAAAAGCCGACAATCACTCTCTCCTGAATTGCCAAACTTGCTCAGCTTATCTCAGAGTAACGTGAGGCGAATCTCGTTACTTCTGCTCTTCACAAGTTCAGTTTCGCAAAAATAGCTGTATTCATTCTCCAGTGGTGTGTGTGTTGTTATGTACTTATGTTTTCCTCAGTCATCCCATTAAGTGTCTCGTTTTCTCTTGACACCCTATATTAGAGGTGTCAAACTAAAACCTTTCGAGGGCCAATTCTTATCTTAGTTACCCTCTTCAGGGCCAACACAAGTGCTATATCACATATTTGCAGGAATGAAGTTTACAACTTCACACATTGCCTTACCTGGCTTACCAGGAATACCTCATTTGGGTTTGTCTCATCTTAAGTATGTAAAATTCATTTTACTAAATAAACATGATTTTATCTATTTCTTTCATGATTTCACGGGATGATGAATTTTACCGTCATCCCACGGGCCACACCTGACCATCCCAAGGGCCACATTTGGCCCGCGGGCCATGAGTTTGACACCCCTGCTCGGGCCTATAATCACTGTGAAGGTTAAGTCTTCTTAAGATTGCGATATATGTTTTGTTATTCTGATTTGTGATATGTTTTAGTAACTGATATGATTAAAGAATATTAATATATGATTTTGTGAAACAGTTTTCAATGTGAGACTATTGCAGTGGTTTAAATGAAGAATGTAAACAAAATGTGGATAAGTTAGTGAAATCGTATTGGAACATGGGGGAGAAGCTCTCTCTCTCTCTATCTCTCTCTCTCTGGGTATTATTGGTGAAGGACATGGTATTTTGTATCGTGAAAACCCACAAGTTGTAAGGGTAATCCAGTGTTTTCTGGTAGTCATAAGCTATTGTAATATATTTGTGAAGCATATTTGTAAAGTAGAGAGAGAGCATATCGTTGGATTAAGATATAAGACTGATATTAATGTAAACTTTGTGGAAGCTATCAGCACGTGTGAAACCATTATTGTTTAATATACTTTTTATGCAAATGCTCTATTTCCCTATCCTGGTTATATTTATATAACAGTATAAGGGAGACTGTGACAGTGTTTTTTTTTTATATGCTTATGAACCTGTGTGTTTTAGTATACAGTATATGCATATGTATTTTATGTAAGTGTATGTATATATGTGTGTGTAAGTGTATATGTATGTATGTGTGTGCTACAATACGCTTACTCATACAGTCTCCTGCAACATAACCAGCGCTATACAGAAACAAGTCACAGCAGAAGTCAACCTCAAACGACCATCTCACTCAGTACGTGGCCTCACCCTTCTCGGTCTACAAGGACTCGACTACACTTGTTATTCTCCTCCCCCGTAACAGGAAATAAGACGAGGCGTCTAGTTACGGTAGAGTCTCAGTGCATTTTCGATATCATATTTTATGTGATCTCCAATTACATAAAAAAATTGTATGAGGTTTCAGAATCGAAGATCCACCATAGGTTGTGTGTCTCAGTGCTGTCAATAACATATTAAGTTTTTCCTTTGTATGAAACGAAAGTGCTAAAGGGAGTGTTAATGTGGTGAAGGAAAGAATAATAATGAAGTGAGGTAGAATAGGGAGTAGGGTAAGGGGAGAGCAGTGTTGAGTAGGGGTAGGGGAGGGGGAAAGGTATTGGGTAGGAGTAGAGGAGGGAGAGAGCAATGTTGGGTCGGGGTAGAGGGGGGGGAGAGCGATGTTGGGTGGGTAAATGAGACAGCGACACATATGCCCTTATTTCTCACGGATAATTAGCGTCGGCAGCTGATCAATTGTCAACGACGACGAGAAAGTTTTGTAATTAACCACCAGCACGAACCATCACCTGCCTGCATGCCTGGTGATCCACAATCTCTTTATTTCGCTTACAAAAATCACCTGCTTCTTGGCATATCTCCTGCTTGGTGATTCAGCATCATATTTCTGCTTAGTGAACCACCACCTACTGCTTGATGAATGACCATCATCTGGCTGGTGACCCAACATTATCTGGTTGGGAGGGAGAGGCAGCAGTACTGTGGAGGTGCAGCAGCAGTAGTAGTGTGGATAAGCAACAGTAGTGTGGTGAAGGAGGAGGAAGCAGTACTGTGGAGGTGAGGGAGGGAGAAAACAGTGTCGGTAAAGAGGTTGTCATTAGGTTCAGCCACACCCACCTACATCCACCTCTTTATCCAGTTTATGTTCCATGAACAGATAATAATTCCGGGTTACTGGGCTACAACTGCTTCCAAGGCTTTTTCTTTCCCCTAATTAATGCAGCATGATGGGGAACTTAAATTCCCTAGATTAGAATTTAATCTTTCTTGTAATTCTCGTCTCTATCCTGCTAAACTTAAGAAAAAAAATGACTACTTTATTTTATTTTCTCTCATATTACCTTTATTTAACATTTTTCTTCGTTAATGCCATAAAGGAGTTTCGTACACTACAGAGATCGTTATAACGTACTGTATCTAGTAATTAATTTCAAAATGCATACAAATCATTCTTTTATTGGGCCTCTATAAACTTGTATAAGGCTTTGTTTTGTATATAACATTTAGGTTAATTGATATTGCACAGATATTGCAAATTAAATGTTGGCAATGTTGGCCTTTTGAGCTTCCGAAACTGTAGTGGAGCCGAATTAATTAATTAATTGATTAAAATGTGTACGAACCAAGGTAATATCTACCAGTTGTGGTACAATTGACGGGAAATGGAGCCGCATCACTAAACTCTTTATGTACTTGTACAGTAGAAGGAAAAGTGAGTCCCATAGGTATGACAGACTCTTAGGAACAGTGTTAAAAATATTCTACACTTAAACAGTTGAACACTTCTTATCCTATTTCACAGTAATTATATAACAAAGTTAATATGGAAAGAAACATTGCAAGCAGACAATATCAGACGACAAGAAAGAGATGTGAAACTCGAAGTTTACGGCTGAATAAATTTAATAAACTCTCTAGGCTTTGTTGACTTAAAAAAAGTTTCTCAAAATCATTTTAGAGAACAACGTGAACAATGTAATTAAAAAAAAATCTAGGAATATACAATAGTCGAGATTATGTCTGTCTTAAACATTAAAGCCGTCGGGATTGAATTTACCCCCACCCCCTTTTTTTGTTTACCTAGTTACGGTTTGCTTTGAGAGTTACCCATCCAGCAGACACATGGTTCTTCGTTTTCTGGGTTTTTTTCAACGTTTGTTGCATATTATGTTATACTGTACGTTGTGCTTGTGAGTGCATACGTGTGGACTGTGGGTTTGTGTTTTTTATTATGATGACAACCCCTTGAGTACGATTACAAGTAACATTAAAGGATTCTATGGATTGGCTTAGTAGAGAATTAATAAGAATATAAGCGAGGTTTATACAAACGTAGATAGAGACTGTACTGAAAAGAGATTTTTTTTTTCATAACTGTAACTGTTGCTGTTCACGTTCCAGTTGTTTCATAGTACCCAACACTAAGCCGTTCACATCCTCGGTATAAAATGTAACTTTCTGCTAATTTTTTTTATTGGATTTGGAATGAGTGAACACTGCCATTCACAGTACAATTTTAACCCATATTAATGCCTGGACGAATAACAGGATTTTTCATATGTTGTTACCAAGATTATATATATATTTTTTTTGAACTCCAAAATTTTATTTAACCGAAATTCAACTGGTCCATTTACGAAGAGCGCGAGAGTTTATTAACGTGAACATACACCACCACCGTCCGGGTCAACCAATGGTTATCACTGCTCGAGGCTCGTGCCAACTAGACTTAAAGCTAACAGTATATATCTGTGCGTGTGTGTGTGTATACTTGTACAGTATACTGTGGTCTTGGTGACTCTGGGTGCTGGTAGTTATAATTCGTGGTGATTGACTAGTGTTTCCTGGTCGCGGTGATGGTTATAATACTGGTAGGAGGTTCTGTTAGAGAGGTGTGTTAGTGTGTGTTGCGGGCATCGATGAACTAACATATTCAGCACATCTACAGGCATGTATTTTACGAAGCCAAAATATTCCCTATATTTTCAGTATCACTTTCCGATGAACGAACACCGTTTATCAACTTTAAGAGGGAAAATAATCAACTAAAAATATTTCCCCAGACTATTTCCTGATGTTTTGTTTTTTCCTCGCCATAGAGAGTTATGTTTCCCCAGGTCTTTTATTTTACTTTACCGATCGTGGTTAAGTGGCTCGTGTTGGTGGTTGTGGGCAGTGGAGGGCGTTGGTGGTTGCGAGTAGTGGTAGGTGTTCGTGGTTGTGTGTAGAGGGAAAGAAGGTTGGAGTGTGGGCGGGGGTGGTAGAAGTCACGGAGGATGATGACCATTGAGGATGGCCTCAATTACAAGGATACTCACCTACGGCCATGGCCACAATCACATGGATACTCGCCTACAGCCGTGGCCACAATCATAAGAGTACTCACCTACGGCCGTGGCCACAATTACAAGGATACTCACCAACGGCCGTGGCCACAATCACATGGGTACTCGCCTACAGCCATGGCCACAATCACAAGGATACTCCCCTACGGTCGTGGCCACAATCACATGGATACTCACCTACGGCCTTGGCCACAATCACAAGGATACTCCCCTACGGTCGTGGCCTCAATCACAAGGATACTCCCCTACGGTCATGGTCACAATCACATGGATACTCACCTACGGTCGTGGCCACAATCACATGGATACTCACCTACGGCCTTGACCACAATCACATGGCTACTCACCTACGGCCGTGGCCTCAATCACATGGATACTCACCTACGGCCGTGGCCACAATCATAATGATACTCACCTATGGCCACAATCACATGGGTGCTAACTTACGGCCGTGGCCGCAATCACAAGGGTACTCACCTACGGCTGTGGCCGCAATCATAAGGATACTCACCTATGGCCACAATCACATGTATGCTAACCTACGGCCGTGACCGCAATCATAAGGATACTCACCTACGACCGTGGCCACACTCACAAGGGTACTCACCTATGGCTGTGGCCACAATCACAAGGTTACTTACCTTCGGCCGTCGCCACAATCACAAGGGTACTCACCTACGGCCATAGCCACAATCGCAAGGGTACTCACCTACGACCGTGGCCACAATCACATGGGTACTCACCTACGGACGTGGCCACAATCACATAAGTATCACCTACGGCCATGGCCACAATCACAAGGGTAATCACCTACTGCCGTGGCCACACCCAGGCCTCTGGTACAGTAAGGAAGATTCTCCCAGAAGCAGTCACAACGAGCCTCCTCATAGCTCATGATGGCCGGATGCTGCTGCCTCTGTGTGCTGGCTTACCCGGCCACTAACTCTTCACTTATCTGTCCTCTGAGTCTGTGTTTATCTGGCCTCTAAGTCTTGCCGTATCCAACATTTAAAGTTAGTTGAGGTTATCAGGTCACACAACAATGATTTTTCCAGTAGCGTTACATGTCTGGAGCGAACATCCTTGTTGTATTATTTTTGAGACATTATTTACACACACTAACACACTAAATAGACTTTTATTTTTTTGAACACTGTGTTAAGTTTGAAGTGATGTTAGATAATGCTATGTTGTGTTACTTCAATGCCAGGTGATGAATTTAGCTCGAATGTGTAAATTTAGTTGTTAAATTGTCAAACACAGTAGAGGCGACACACTGATTGGTGGATATAGTTTCATCTTCATCACTATTGGATGCTATTTTTTCTTAGTTTATCAGTTTTTTCCAAAATTTATCTCTGTTTATAAAACGTATTGGGTCTTATTATCATTTTCTTCCTTATTTTTTTGCATTCTTCTGGTGATCCATCTGAAAAAAAAATACAATTAATGGATTTATGAGGAAGTTTAATATGTTGCAAGGAAGTGATGATTGATAGAATAATGATACTGAACTAAATGATAAGTGATGGAAATGCTGATTAAAGAAATAAGAATGAAATGATTCAGTGGTTAGTCCTAAGGTAAGGGATACTATACTGTATATACTGTATGCAAATGCCACACGTCCCTGAGGGAAGGGGGTTGAAGCAGAAGTTGTAATATTGGTCCCCCGAAAAATAGATTACTTTACTATAAATAACAAGGGGAGGTGAGTATGTGGGTGATGTGGTGGAGTGGGAAGGTGGGTGTGGAGGGGTTCCAGCTCCAGGAGTGTCTGAAGGAGGAGCAGAGTAGGAGAGCCTTCTCAAGACACCCTTGGTGTACCAGGATGGGAATATTGGACACGAGATTGAATTCAATATTTTTTTTTTAACGGGATTAGCCCACCCGGGCACAGGTCACTGACCCACATCAGGGCCTGGAGGGCGAAAACACAATAATAATAATATTAATAATAATAATAATAATAATAATTATAACTATTATTATTATAATCATTCAAAAATTAATAACAAATTACTAAAAATAAAAATTGAATACTGAAAATAATGATAACCATAAATTAATACAAAAACGAAAAAACAAATCAAGGATGAGAAACGATATATATTTTGTATGTTGTGTTGTCAAAGTAAGAGAAGCAATTGAAACCCTGCAATTGTGTGTAAATGGTGCAGAAAGTCAGATCAGCAACCTGGGACTTGATCACAATTTTCGTGGTGCCAAATGGCAGCAGGGTCTACCATTAGACAACACATTATGCTTCCAATATCTTCCCAGGAGGTAGTACCTCCCTGTTTGATACCTGCCTGTTACTTTCCAAGTAACTTCCCCCTAAGCTCATTGAAGCCAGAATTTCCTTTATGACTATACAACATATTCAGTATCTTTCATATTTCATCGAGTCTTTGCTTAAATCTTAATTGGAAATGTTACTCTGATCTTTGACGACTATTGAAGTATTCATTATAAGTCTAGTTCCGACAGCATCAAATACAAAATACAATCCTTTATAAAGTACAAGGATGATTAAAAATTAGAATACAGAAATAGAACTTATTAATAATAGATTTTATTTATATATAAATGATAGATTCATGGCTGGATGTCTCATCAAGTGACACCAAAAACACTATTACTCACTACAGAACGTCTGGGAGTAATATTACCCCTTAATGATATAGTGATGGTTATCACATAAGAACATAAGAACATCAGAAAATAAGGAGTCTGCAATAGGCCGGTTGGCCTGTGCATGGCAACCATAGAATGGTTACCAGTTATCAATGAATGCCCAACCATTGTTTGCACAATGTTTTTCCAGTCGGCAATTTATAGCAATTGCACTGGACAGCCATTCACGACCAACCCCTCTTCTAGGCAAGACACCACATACTATCGGGATCCCTCTCCTATCTCTAATCTTCCCCAGCGCCTCCCTATACCTCTTGAAAAGTTCCTCATTCCTAACCTTTCCTATGTCGTTTCATCCCACAATAAGACACACTACTGGATTGATACCCTCCCCTGACAAAACCCTATCTATCCTCTCAGCTACATGCCCTACCCCAGCCCCAGGAAAACACACCCTAGTCCTACTTTTCCTATCTCTTGCACAAAATGTCCTATCTAAAAACCTCACCTGGCTGTCCCCAACTACCACGACCTTACCATTGGGCAGGGTTTGTACAACTGCCCTTTCCTCTCCTTGCACCTGAGTCTGACCCTAGTCCCCTTGGAGACCACCACTCTCCACGCCTGCTCCTCCTTCGTAGGTGACCTGCTAGGCAGGACACCTACCTGAAGGAGTTCAGTCCTGAGGGCTTCGTTCTACCCCATTAGAGCGTCCATCTCACTCCTCAACTGCTCCAGCTGACTTAACAGAGTGGCCAGGTGGTCGTCTTTCCTCACACTCCGCTCCTCTTCCCCCACAACACAACAATCCAAGGCGGCCATTTCCTCTGGTCGCTAACGCGAGCAATTAGGGGCACGTCCTTCTCCAAGCTAGGTCAGGTAGCATAGACTCCCTCAATCTCTTTCTTCCCCCTCCCCTTAGATCAGTGGTCTCCAACCTTTTGTAGGCTCTTGGCCACATTTATTATTGTAAATACAGTGGGGTGCGCCAAAACTGTAGATCTACAGTCAAGAAATAAATCTCATATATATTGTACATTTATTTGCAGTTTTACATGTCTAACTGTTACCAGTTACATATTTTTACATTTACTCTTGGACAGGACGAGTGTATTTACCCCAGTGAGAAGGCTGACTTTCTTTCTGGGCCCGGTCTGGGGGTAAATACACACGTTCTGTACACGATAGACTCTGGACTAGTGCGCAGTTTCTCTCTCTCTCTCTCTCTCGAAGAATCACAAATAATTCACAATTTTCTAATAAACCCCCTCGGGCTCCATAATATGGTTCCGGCGCCCGCGAACTACAGGTAGAGGACCACTGCCTTAGATAATGTAGGAAGAGAAGCTTATTGGCGTGACTTCCATGGCAATATAAAAAGTTGTGATTTATGCAAGGAAAATCTCACATACACACGCACACACACACTTGTCAACCACCAGCGAGACAAGACGTGCCCTGAAGGCGCTTCCAGTTTGAGCAGCCAGGACGAGTCTGTTTGCCCCCCTCCCGCTGCTATATCCCAACGCCCTACCAGCCTTACTACACCGGGATTTATTCAGCAAAACATTCAAGTGATCAGTGAACGATTGACTACCAAACAGTGTTCCTATAGTGCACTCCAAGGAAAAGCACAAACACACAGAAGTGTAATACTGAGAGTGGTTGGATCTGACCTAACCTGACCTGACCTCGCGGCTATTTCTGTATTCCAATTTTTAATCATCCCTGTACTTTATAAAGGATTGTATTTTGTATTTGATGTTGTTGGAACTAGACTTATAATGACTACTTCAATAGTCGTCAAAGATCAGAGTACACTTGTCTCGTGCGGGGGTAAAGACGTGTCTGCATCCCTGGAGCATGAAATTGTCACTCCAAAGGGGGGATTTCGCCAGTAGAGAGAGGTCGGGGAAAGTGGGAGTAAAAAAACAAGCAGGTCCTTGGAAGTAAAATTGGTTACTCAGGACAAAGGGTAAAACAGGATCAGGGAAGAGTAGGTTTAAATGTATACTATACAAACAGTAGGAGAGTTAGATATAAAATAGACTTGCTGAGAGCGGTTGTCTGTACCGAGAATGTAGACGTCACAGCAATCACCGAAACTTGGATGAATCTGGCGAGCAAATTTTTTTTTATCAGAGTACCACATAGAAGGGTACAACCTTTTTCACAAGGACAGGGAAGGTAGGAAGGGGAGAGGGGTCGCACTCTTCGTCAAGGATACATTAAAATACTGTATTAACAATTCAATGAAGGGTGAAACATGAACCGAGTCTGTATGGGTAGAAATCACGGAAGAAAGAGAAAAACTAATTATAGGAGTGATTTACAGGCCCCCAAGTCTTGGGAAAAAAGCAGCTCAGCCCATATGGCAGGAAATGAGTAGGGCAGCAAATTATAACAACCTGTGCATTATGGGGGATTTCAACTTCAGAAATATTGACTTGGACAACATTGTAGGTGACTATGTATCTGAAAACTTCCTAGACGCAGTACAGGACAATTTTTTTAAACAACTAATTACAGAACCTATTAGAGGTGACAATATATTAGACCTAGTATTAACAAATAAGGAAAATATTATCAGAGATATCACAGTAGGGGAAGAACTAGGTAACAGTAATCACAGAGAAATCAGGTTCACCCTAAATTGGGAAACGAAAAACAATGACAATATGGTCAGTCCCAAACTTTCGGTTGGCGGATTATCAGGGGTTAAGAAGGTACCTAGGTGAGGTCACCTGGGAACAGTCAGGTCAGTCCCCAGTAGGAAAGGGTGAGGTACCAGATGACACAACACTTGATCATGACTATAATATATTCGCTAGTATACTATGTAAAGCACAAGAACAAAATATACCATACAGAAAAATTAGGTCAAATAAGAATGAGCCAAGGTGGATGACCAGAA